TTTCGAGTTCAATGGTTATGCACACTTCTATTTTCTGATTTAACATAAAAATGTTAGATACATAACATAAAATATTAGTTAAAGGATAAGATGTTATGTAAGAACGCAACCTTGAAACACATTTTTTTCTACACTTGCAATCCATCCCGAGACATGTTCCAAGCTTCTTTAATTACAATATTTTCATGACAAATACTTTCATTGCAAATATTTGAGTTTCAGAAGATAACATATATATAATGGCGATGTTCACGTTTTATTGGATGTAGAGGGTTTCAGGTGGATTAATGTGTGGGCAATATCTTGAGTATTGTTAGTTTATGAATGCGGGGCATATATTCGTTGAAGGTTAACGAATAACTATACCTCTTGATTCTTTTATATAACCCAGGGAAAATGTTCTTTCTTTTTTAATTAAAAAATAAATAGGGACTTTCATCTCAGTTTTATAAAAGAACCGAGAAAATAAATTACTTACAAAAAATGGTGAATGGTACAAAATTGAAATTAACACGTATTGTTTATTTTTTATTTTTTTTACCATTCACCACTTTTTTTGTATGCTGCAATATTCAAACAAAGGACTTGTATTGTGAAACAACAACATTGCTTGCAATTTACAATATGTTTAGGAATAAATTTCTCAATAATGTCAACCGTGGAAAGCAATAAATTATGGGGTGTTTTTTTTATTCACAACATATGAAAGTTATTAAAAAATATAACAATGATCTTGCAAGAGGTGGAAACAACAACAACAACAACAACAACAACAAAAACACCATTATGTGAGATAGATTGCAAGAGCAGAAAAAATATTTTGTTTAAGATTGATGTTAGAAGAACAACATACAACACATATTTTTCTGTCTTGTAATCCATCCCAAAGAATGATGTGTACGAGTTTGAAGTGACTATATATGAGTTAGGTTAATGGTAAAATTTACGAGTACTTTTATAGAAAAATCTAATCGTCTAACCCCCCGATTATTAACAAACTGAAGGAATAGTATATTTAATTTTCAAAAAAAAAAAAAGAAAAAAGAAAGACACCACTTTTAAAGAAATAAAAATATAAACTGCATTTGTTGGGATTTGAAGCATATTTTGAATTAGTTTTCCCTCAATTATTTATGAAAACTACGGGGAATAATTTTTATTTTAAAAAAATAAAACATGGCGTCCTCGAATTATAGATTAATTTTTTGTTGGGTGAGGTGAAAGTTTTGTTAGAAAATGTATTATTTGTAGTATTGAGCACAATATAAATATGTATTCATTCCTCACTCTTTTTACACTGTATTCTTAACATTCTTTCTAATTGTATGTGTGTGAGATTATTCTCTCAAAATCATCATCATGACTTCTAGAGTCCTATCTCTGATGTTTTCACTTCTTAACAACAAGAAGAGAGATTCCTCAAAGAGTTTTCCAACAGAAATGTCCTGAGAATTCACACCCTGGATTCATAAGCTTTTAAAGAATGAGATTTCCTTAAGACATTTGAAGAATCAAATTTGTCCACCTTCTCTGCAGCCCCTCAAGAAAGGTGTATACATCATTAGTTAAAATATTGTTATCAAATTTTTACTTCACAAATTGAATAATTTATTCTAAAGTAAAAAGACACATGATATCTCTATTAAAAGAGTTTGCAAACATCATGAACCTTTCTCATGAAGATACTGTCCTCGAACCAGAAGATAAATGATATAACTTCAACGTCAAGGAAACATGATGTGAGTTTGAGAAACATCCATTAAGAATATAAGGGATAAGATTTTTCTAGGTCAATAGTGTTCCAGAGAACTTGAAAATTATCATCTATTGCATTGACATTGACTGTTAATAGAATAATACCTCTAATAGTAAATCATTGACGAAGGAAAAAATTCAATTTATAAGATATCAAACATAGAAAACCTCGACAAAGAAATAAATTAAATTTTAATTTGAAAAAAACGCGCGCAAATATAAAATTCATTTAAATATTTTCTTACAAAAATTGATATTTTAACAAAAAACATACCGAAAGAAATTGAGAATAACAAATTAGAGATAGTGACATCTTTATATGACCTTTTCATTTATACTATTAATAATTTCTTTGATTTTTTATTTTAAAATTTCTTTACTATAGTTAGTTGTTTTTCTATTTTGTATTTGTTATGGATGAGAATTTTTTTCTTTCTTTCTATGGATTCTTTAGGGTCAGAATCTTGTTTGAGGTAATAAATGAGAATTACATATAATTTTCTCACACACTAATAAATTCAATTAAACTAAAATAATCGTGAATATTTGTAAAATGATGCTTTTATCATGCATCTCAATATTGTGTTACCATAATTTTACAAAGTTTGATATTTAAGTTTCTCTCTTTACACGGATGCATTCAATTAATATCATCAAAACAAATACTCGCTAAGAGATAACTTTCACATCAATAATGTTTAATTCACTCTAGGAAAAACACGCACTAAGAGATAACTTTTGCGCCAATAATATTCAATCCACTTGAGAACAAACACGCGCTAAGAAATAACTTTTGCACCAATTGTGACTACATTAATAATTCTTGATTTAGACGTGATTAATAATTAATAATTTATTTAATTTTGAATCAAAAGTGAGATTTCTTCTAATCAAATGTAGTGTTTTTTTACAATTATACAAAACTTGATATTCAAGCTTATTTGTAAGTATACTAATGCATATTATTCACATTTATTCATTAAAAAAATGTCGCGCCAAAATGTTACTTAAATAGTCGTGGCTATGTTAATAGTTTATGTTTTAGATATGTATATTTATTTAATCGTTTTTCTCAGAGAATCTTTCACTTACATTGTTTATTACTAACTTCATTAATTATACATTCAAATTGAGATTTGTCATATTTCAGTACCACATTATTGCAATTCCATAAAACTTTCAAGTTTCTATTCTTGCATGAATGCATTCAACAATACACTCAAAAACTAACCCGCGCTAGGAAATAACTTTCGCGCCAAACTTCTTTTCTCCCACGAATGCGTTAAATATACACCAAAACAAACACATGTTAAAAAATAACTTTCACCCAAATTTCTCTTCTCACACGAACGCGTTCAATACACACCAAAACAAACACGCGGCAAACAATAACTTTCGCGCCAAACTTCTCTCCTCACACAAATACGTTCAATCCCCACTAAAAACAAACTTTCGCGCCAATTATGACTACATTAGTAATCTCTTATTTAAAGAATGATTGACAATTAAAATGAAGTACAACCAGCAATCTTATGAGTTTCCCATCATTTTTCTTTAAAAAACAAAAGTACTCTACCAAATATAGAACGTCTTACTTACAGACTTATAGGTAATAAACAGCATCACAAATAGATTCCCATGTAGTACTTGCAGACATTTCATAGATTTTCTTTATAGTACAACTTGGCAAATAGCCAGGTTCTTATAAATAAGGCTCCAAACATGATACCTTCCCTCTACCTAAATCAACATTAATATCTATTAATAATAATCATCAATAAATAAAAATAAAATGTCTTTTTAATCACAAAAAAAACTAGCAAGAAATAAAATTAACAAAAAGCACCCAAAAAACACACTCACTTTCTCTCTCTCCATGTTGAAACCCCAACCCATAATTTCATATCATTTTTCTCTTTCTTCATAGTACAGATAAAATAATATATTATTATTATTATTATTATAATATCATGAATCAATTATCAATGATATAAAATATAAAAAATGATTATTATTATTGTATTATGATGATATACATGGTTCCGTTCCGTGAAGTTTTTATTCAGAGTTGTGTGAGATCTACTTTGCCGAGTAGCGAGATTACAGAACCCTAATTCTACGGTAATTGCAAAGAATAATTTAAAAATTGTTCTTACTGTTTTGTCATCATCATCTTTGAAATTCGTGCAAATGTTCTAAACTATCTGCATCAGATCCACGCTATCGTTTTTCATTGATTGTGTTTTTGTTATTACTTCACTTTTTTTCACTCTAGGGTTAAGGGTTTTACTTTGCTTCTTCTTCTTCTCGTTCTGCTACTTACGTTCTTTCTGCAACTACTACGTTTTTTTTTTTTCTCTCTTCCGTTTACTTTGTGGTTCTTAGGTGAATCATCTTTCGCCACTTGTCTTATCTTACGTTGATTGGATTGGATTGGATTTGATTTAATTATTGTTTTTTTTTTCGGTTTGTTTGATAAAGTCAGTTTATTATTATTTTTTCATATTGATTTTGATTTGTTGTTTGCTTTATGCTAACACTTGCTTTGGTTGAACTTAAAACGTATGAGTTTTCTTGTATGATTTTTATTTATTTTTTAATTTGTAAGCATTAATTGTTGTAATCTGAATTGGGATATAAGGGTAACTGTTTGTTCTTAAATGCTGAATTTATTCCTCTGTTTTGTTCTGTTTATGTTTTGATACTGATGTTTGTTTGTTTGTTACACTGATCAGTTTTTTATTTATTTATGCAGGATTTGAAAAGTGGTTGGTTTTTTTTTAGGTGATTCTTTCTTGGATTACGATTGAGGATCGCTAGCGAGAAAGCTCAATATCGATCGGATTGATTTTCTGTTATGTTGAGGTGATGATTGAAATTGGTTTTTGTGATGGGATATAGGTTGACTTGATTGAAAATATCTGATTTGTATTTGATGATCTCAGTTAATAGTTGATGTTGTTATAGGTTGGTTGGTTGGATGCTGGTGTAGGGATAAGCTTTTTGTAGAACTGTTTGCAAATTGCAAGTCCTTTTCGATTTTTATAAGTTGACTTCTTATAGTTTAAGTCCTTTTCAATTTTAGCGAAGATTGGCTTGTAATATTTTGTCTTTTGATAGAAATATAGTTGAGATACAATTGTACAATCATCTATTGGTCGTTGAAAGTTTTAGTTACTTCAAAGTATTTCTCGGAGTATCATATTTTTCCGGGTTTTATCTTCTGGGCTGTATCGAAGAGGAAAATGGAAGCAGAGAGGTTTAGTAGTGAGCAGCTGAAGAGTAAAATGGAGGCAGAGACATTGGGTTCTAATCACGCTCCTGGCTTTCTTAGCCGAGCTCTTCCGGCTGTTGTACCCGTGCTTTTGATTTCGATTGGATATGTTGATCCTGGAAAATGGGTGGCAAGTATTGAAGGCGGTTCAAGATTTGGTTTTGATCTGGTGGCTTTCACGCTTATTTTCAATTTTGCAGCTATCTTCTGTCAGTACTTATCTGCCCGGGTTGCTGTAATCACTGGAAGAGATCTTGCTCAGGTATCAACTTTAGGGTTTATACAATTAGATACACAACACATGTAGTAAAATTTTTATATTTGAAATGCTCATAAACTCTGAATTGATTTAAACCCCGGCCCCCCCAAAAAACCTACCTGCTTATTGAATTGGTTATTGAGTCTATAGTGGATTTCTGTATTTCTGCTTCAAAGTCTTGCAGAAAATATGATGTTTACATGAGCAAGCTTAAATTGAACTCGATAAATTCACTTGATTTGTATGCTTTGTTTATAGACTAATTTCTCATTTGTTAACTACAGATTTGCAGTGATGAGTATGATACATGGACATGCCTTCTCCTTGGAATTCAAACAGAACTTTCAGTGATTATGCTAGATCTTAACATGGTAATTCCCTTACTCTTGATTAACATTAAATATCCAGTGAATTTGATTTACACAGTCATCTTCTATTTGTCAGTTTCTTTTGACTTGTAACTATGGTTTAAACCGTTTTGCAAGATCTTGGGCATGGCACAAGGATTAAATCTTATTTTTGGGTGGGACTTGTTCACCTGTGTCTTTTTAACAGCCACTGGTGCTGTTTTTCACATACTTCTTTCTGTCCTCCTTGTAAGTATTATTCTTCACCTGTTCACCATTCCTTGTTGATCAACACTGGACTTATTATATTGCCTTTTCGTAGGACATTGAGAAGGCCAAATTCCTAGGACAGTTTGTGGCAGGCTTTGTATTACTGTCTTTTATACTTGGACTACTCATCAATCAATCAGAAGTTCCACTTTCCGTGAATGGAATACTAATAAAGTTGAGTGGGGAGAGTGCTTTTATGCTTATGAGTCTTCTTGGAGCAACTCTTGTGCCTCACAACTTTTACCTTCATTCGTCTATTGTACAGGTATTATTTCCTCTAATTCCTAATTTCTGTTTGCATTTCTGCAAATGTAGTGAAATGTATGTCTCTATGGCATGCTGCCAAAGAAATGTCTTTTATTTGCTTGTATGTGTATTTGAAATGTCCGGTAGTTTCTCTTTGATACTATGGTTGTGTGGGCACATGCTTCATCTAAACTATGTTACTTGTATGGGAGCGTGTCCAGTTATAAAGGGTCTTCAGTCATTATTTAATAGGACTTTTAGATTCTTGCCTATCAATTCTATTACTGTAAGGATGTTCATCAGAGGTGTCTTATTTGAGGAATGTATGATATGAAATTGGAACATTGTAATCGTACATTTTAAATGGGAAAAAAAGTGTTTTGTGAATTCTCAAACTGATAGTCCTTTAGAGATAGTTTCTCTTGCATACAGAATTTAGTGTTATTTACCCAGTAGGTTTCTTATAATTATTAAAAATACTCATATCTCTTGATCAATGTGGGTCAGTGTTATCAAATATCGGCCATAGTAGGTTTTCTTACTACCACCATGACCAATTTGCAAATGATGGCTGCGCCATGGCGTTTTATGACGGATACAGCGGATATTTGGTTTTCCACCATCCGCCATTGATAACATTGATGTGTGTTTTTCTTATAAGATATCGTCTATGATCTGATATTTCTTTCACACTTTTCGTCAGCTATGCACCTAGTGGGAAAGAATGCACATCATGTTCTGTCATATTTGGTTGTAGTTGAGTTTTATCGATCTGATATTTAATATTCTTTTTGCAGTGGCATCAGGGACCGAAAAACATTTCTAAGGATGCATTGTGTCATAACCATTTTTTGGCCATCTTAAGTGTCTTCAGCGGCCTTTATTTGGTAAATAATATGCTGATGACCACATCAGCAAATGAGTTCTACAGTACAGGTCCTGTTTTGCTTACTTTTCAAGATGCACTGTCATCAATGGAACAGGTCTCTTTTACTACATAATTGGTTGACATGAAAAATTGTTCTCATCCTTTCTGTCAAACACATTCTGAACTAATATAGTTGTGATTCTTATTGCAGGTGTTGCGCAGCCCAATAACTCTGCTTAGTTTTGTATTCATTTTGTTTCTTGCAAATCAGACTACAGCATTAACTTGGAGTTTAGGGGGAGAAGTAGTAGTGAATGGTTTCTTAAAACTAGATATTCCAGGTTGGCTTCATTATGCAACAATTAGAGTGATTGCTGTGCTGCCCGCCCTTTATTGTGTCTGGAGTTCTGGAGCTGAAGGGATGTATCAACTACTTATATTCACTCAGGTTTTAGTCGCCCTGCAACTTCCATCTTCTGTGATTCCCCTATTTCGAGTTGCTATGTCTAGATCAATAATGGGAGCACACAAAATCTCCCAGTCTCTGGAACTTTTGGCATTGACCATATTCATTGGGATGCTTGGCTTGAATATCGTGTTTTTGGTAGAAATGATATTTGGCAATAGTGATTGGGCGGCTGATTTGAGGTGGAATGTTGGGAATGGCATGTCTGTCTCATATGCAATTCTTCTCATTGCTGGTTTTATGTCATTATGTTTGATGCTTTGGTTAGCTGCCACACCTTTAAGATCTGCCAATATTCAATTAAAAGCTAAGGTGAACTGGGATATGCCAGAGACTATACCGATTCCGCTGGTTGATGGTGAAGAATCATATATAACTGAAACAGTGCGTCATGAAGAAGCATCTGTTGAGATCGACGAACCAAAACCAGCTTTAGCTAGCACATTTGAGTACCCAGAAGTATCACTTAAAAGTTTTCGTCCCATTCCCGAAACCATAATGGAACCCGATCCCCAGGTGAATGCCATAAAGGGGAATAATTCTGTTGCACCATCAGTTTCCCCATCAGAGACTGGGGAAGCATCTACTGTAGTTGATGATAGTTCTGATTCTAGACTTGCAGATACAAAAACTATAATGGAAAGAGATGCCCCACTTGAGAAGACTGTGGAAATTGAAGAGGATTCAAATGCCGAAAGGGATGATGATGATGGAGAGTCATGGGAAACTGAAGAATCATCCAGAGTGGTCTTGCCAAATGCCCAATCTTCAACATCAGAAGGCCCTCCATCATTCAGGAGTATTAGTGGGAAAAGTGACGACGGTGGGGGTAGCTTCGGAAGTCTATCGAGAATAGAAGGCTTAGGACGTGCGGGAAGACGTCAGCTAACTCTTATTCTTGGTGAATTCTGGGGACAGCTTTATGATTTACATGGGGTGCCTTCCCAGACAGCAAAGAAATTTGATGTTTTGCTGGGGGTGGAAGACGATTCAAGACCCACCACTTCCTTGCAGAAAATGGATGCATGTGGAAAGAACTATTCTGAATACTCAGTATCTGCTGGCAGCAGAGCTTCTGACACTTCAATTAACGTTGGTCCGTATGACTATTCCGTGCAGCCTAGGATGCAAAGTAATTCAGAGTCGTCGTATGGTCTTCAAAGGAGTTCTTCCTCAGTGCGGGCAAATCCCATCCAGTTACTGGATGCATATGCACAAAACTCTGCCCGCAATTTCCTTGAATCTGGTGAGAGGCGCTATTCCAGTGTGCGCAGTCTTCATTTATCCGAGGCTTGGGATTATCAGCCAGCTACAATACATGGTTATCAGACTGCATCCTATCTTAGCCGGGGTGTGAAAGATAGAAGTTCTGAAAACATAAATGGTTCAATGCAATTGTCATCACTGAAGTCCCCTTCCACAGGTAATTCAAACTACAACAGAGATTCTCTTGCGTTTGCTTTGGGAAAAAAGTTGCATAATGGTTCAGGTGTAAGCCACCCCCCTGGTTTTGAAAATGTAGCTGTCTCGAGAAATCGCCAACTACTATCTGAGAGGTCCAATTATGATTCTTGCACCTCTGGACCTGCAGCTAATACAATCAATTCAGTTAATACTAAGAAGTACCACAGCTTGCCTGACATTTCAGGATATTCCATCCCTCACAGAGCTGGCTACATGGCTGATAAGAGTGCACCATGGGATGGTTCTGTTGGATATGGTTCTTATGCTGGTAGGATGGGATACGAACCCTCTTTATATTCAAATGCTGCATCAAGAGCAGGAGCTCATTTGGCCTTTGATGAAGTCTCTCCATCTAAAGTGTACAGAGAAGCACTCTCTTCACAGTTGAGTTCTGGTCTTGACACTGGATCCCTCTGGTCTAGACAGCCTTTTGAGCAGTTTGGTGTTGCTGATAAAATTCATAATGTTGCAATGGAAGGAGCAGGAAGAAAGCCGAATGCAATTGTTCAAGAAACTACATTTGAAGATACAGAAGGGAAACTACTTCAATCTCTCAGACTTTGCATTATGAAGCTCTTAAAACTGGAGGGGTCTGATTGGTTGTTTAAACAGAATGATGGAATTGATGAAGATCTGATTGACCGTGTAGCAGCAAGGGAGAAGTTTGCTTATGAAATTGAAGCTAGGGAGACAAGTCAGGTCGTTCATATGAGTGATACTCGTTACTTTCCTTCTGATAGGAAACCTGTCCCTTCGATGAAAAGCGAGGCAAATGCCTCTAGTCTTTTAGTTTCCTCAGTTCCTAACTGCGGGGAGGGATGTGTATGGAGATTAAATTTAATAGTAAGCTTTGGGGTCTGGTGTATCCACCGTGTTCTTGACCTCTCAATTTTGGAAAGCCGGCCAGAGCTTTGGGGGAAATACACCTATGTGCTCAATCGCCTCCAGGTAAATTATCTGAACAATTTGCTATCTTAAGTAGTCAGAATGTCTATATTTTTGCCGTGCTTTTTCATACATTTAGAAATGGACCCTAGTCACAGAATGCTGGCTGTTCCATATCCTCTAAAGGAGAAAACACGTTTATATGCTCTAAAAGTGGTATTCTATTGTTCAAATCCTAAAAAAATGAGTATTCATTTGTTGTTGATCGATCACTTGAAAAAATTTGTCCAACGTGTTATATATTCATTACTTGTTATATTGTTCATTGCATTCTCTTTCAACAATACTAGTATGTCTTTTCTGTGTTTTATTTTATCTTGCTTTAATGAGCAGGGCATCATCGAACCAGCCTTTGCGAAGCCTCATACCCCTTCGGCCCCTTGTTTTTGCCTTCAAGTTCCCTCTACACACCTGCAAAAGTCAAGCCCTCCTCTTTCTAACGGGATGTTACCCCCAACCGTGAAAGCAGGCCGGGGCAAATGCACTACTCCATCAACGTTTCTTGAGCTGATTAAAGATGTGGAGATCGCTATCTCTAGCAGAAAAGGACGATCAGGTACTGCAGCCGGTGACGTGGCATTCCCAAAGGGGAAGGAAAATGTGTCATCTGTTCTCAAACGGTACAAGCGAAAGTTAGCATCCAAGAAGCTTATTGCCAATCGTTAGGGGACTGGTTCTCGCAAGATTCCCCTTTCATGAACATAAACTCAATAACATTTTGCATTAACAAAATCAGGTTTCTTTGGGGATGTTTTATAATTTATACTGTGAAGCAGCTCATACCTGGATAATTTATCCTTTGTATGTTACATACATATAAGAAAAAATTATATGCAATTGTGGCAAACGGTTAAAAATGGTAGATGGAAAATAGTTCCAGTTTCTTTTTTGTTTTGTTTGGATTTCGTTGCTTATCTAGCTAGTGGATAGAAGGCAGGGAGACAATTAAGTTTTGACCCGATCGTTTCCTGAATTAACTTTTGTATAAACACTGAAATTTTGTTGTTTTAAAGTTTTTACAATGAAATCTGAAAAAATTGTAATGCAAATCCAATGTTGGTTGAATTGGTTTCGCAATTTCTTATTATTGAATCACATGCACAAAATTCTATTTTATGTTTAATTTGTTGCTTGGTAGAACTACTTAGTGGTGTTCAAGAGTTTTCTTCTATACTATATATTCAATATTATGCTGTTCTTGGTAGATTTGTACTAAGTTCTCCTAAATAATGTCTAGGGCATGATTTTAAATTGCGCTGTGTTCTATTAAGTAATGAGTTCTCTTAAATAATGTCTAGTGATGGTTTTAAATTGTGATATGTTTTCTTAAATATTTTATCTGTATCATAATAAGTGTCTCATTTGTATTTTTTCTATGTCTCAATAAATATTTCTTTAGAATATTAATATAATAGTTATTATTTTTTTTCACTACAATACATTAGCTTTTACGTTTTTCAATTATTCTACTAACTATATTAAATAAGAGTATTTTAGTAAATAATATTAATTTTATCATTAAAATCAATCAATCAAATTATTTTCTTAAAAATCGCGTAAAATTTAAATGAGACACTTGTTATAAAACATATGGACTAATATTTAAGACATGATTTTAAATTGTAGTTGTGAGTGTTGCGATTGTTGTTATTGCAGTTGCTATAATATGCATTGCAATCGTTACGATTTTCATAAATTAAATTTTTGGGTGCTTAAATCTTGAGTTTAGATAAAAAATACTTAAAAGAAATATGAGGAAAATTGTTGGATGGGATTTCAGAACGACGGCAAGAAGCATGAAGCATTATCTAAATTTACATTATAAATATGGTCTCATGCGATTGGGAGACTTCTGCATAAACAATATTGCAACTGGAATTGTGGTTAGGGACTGTAATTTAAAATTATGGTCTAAGATCTGAGTATGATGGTGAAAAATTAGTTGGAAAACAAAATTTTATTAAAGATAAATTCTTTGGTGGATATCAATCAATAACAATTATTATAGAGACTTCTACATCAATAATATTGCATTTGTGTACAAAATTAATAATATTGCGGCCGCAATTATAATTGGGAACTGCAATTTATAATCATGATCTAAGATTCGAGTATGATGTTGAAAAATTAGTCTGTAATGTTGAAAAATTAGTCTGTAAACAAAATTTTATAAAAAATAATTTCTTTAGTGGATATCGATCAATAACAAACACTACAAATACTTAACACATATTGTATATATTATAAGTAAAGAAAGAATATAAACATGCATTTACCTTGTAAACATGAGTCACACTCTTCATGGTTTTCTTCGGTTTTACTTTTGCTCTCAATTACTGAGTTGAAGTTTCCTATTTTTTTAATCTCTTTGCGCTTTCACCATCTCTCACCGTAATGAGTAACCATCCACACATGTATAAACCGAGGTGTCACTTTAGGATTGCAACCTCTGATCTCCATGCATACTTTTCACTTTAATATGTGAAATTGTGATTGAGATGCTTCTTAAGAGTTTCATAAGAACATCTCTCTGTTTGATATTGAGAAGGATGTATAAATCTAATAGGATTGGCAATGGTATTAATCTTATTAATGGAAAGATAAGAGTAGTTATTTATTCATAACATAAATATGATAGGCAAATATTAACATGTTTGAATTCACGTATTATTTTCAATCTCGCATTTCAAAAATGAATTTGTCGTAATTTTTAAAAACGATAAATAAAAAAGACATTCTATTAATACGAGTATTCAATGTATTTTTAAAAAATGTGTTGGATTACTAGATAAATTATAAATTTATACATATATATTTTAAAAAAAGAATTGATTAAGACATTTTTTACTTTTTATTAAATTGTTCAATTTATAATTTTTTTATTTGTGACAATATTATCTTTAATATGGTATGATAAACACCTATGGTATACAAGAGTTTTCTTCAATTTTATATATATTTTTTAAGGAAAAAAAGATTATATATTTTTTATTCTTTAATATAATTGTTTGATCAATCATTTTAACGGTGAGATTTAGTGTAAATCTATTAGATTTATATTTGGTGTCGATAAATCCAATCTCTATATGAGACACAATCCATTGATATTTGGTGTAAGTCTAATAGATTTATATCAAATCTCAAACGTTAATAACATTCGATTAAGAAGAACAATTATTAAATTTAATATGATAATTTAAACAATCATTTTAACGATTGAAATTTGATTAGATTTACACTTGTTATAATAAAGAACAATTATATATAATTATTTATAATAAAGATATGATAGGTGAATATTAAGATGTTTGAATTCACTTTCTATTTTTCAATTTCGCGTTTTAATAAGGAATTTATTGTAATTTTCAAAAGTGACAAATAAAAAAAACATATATAGAAATATTAAAATTCAATGTATTTTTGAAAAAGACATTGGATTACCTGATAATTGTAATCTTTATGATATGTAAAAAAGAAAATTATATTTTGATTTTGATATTTTTTATCTTTTATTAAAGTTATTTAATTTATAATTTTTTTATTTGTGACAATATTCTCTTTCATCTGTTGTGCGATAAACATCTATGGTGTACTGTACAAAAGTTTTCAATTATATATATATATATATATATATATATATATATATATATATATATATATATATATATATATATATATATATATATATATATATATATATATATATATATATATATATATATATATTTTTGAGGATTCATCTCTTATTGACTGAAAGGTAAGATTTATTATTTATTTATAATATAAATAAGGTAAAAAAATATTTACATGTTTGAATTCACGTTTTATTTTTCAATCTCGCATTTCAATAATTAATTTATCGTGATTTTCAAAAATGACAAATAAAAAGGCACATGTATAAATAAGAAAATTCGATGTATATTTGAAAAACACATTGAATTATCTGATAAATTTTTATGCATATATATAAAAAAGAAAATTATATTTTAATTGAGATATTTTTCATCTTTTATTAAAGTTGTTTAATTTGTAAATTTTTTTACTTGTAACGATTGATGGAAACTCACCAAAGTCTATGATGAATTTCTACTACAATAACAGTTTAATTATGAGACAAACAAAGAAAAGAAGACAAAACAAATAATTTCTGCAGAGTTTCTCTCTGCTCACAAACTGTGAAAACTTTCTAATTCACTTTGCAACTGTAAAATACTGTAAATGACTTGCTTGACTTGCTTACAAAAATAAGGGTTACTCCCTCTATTTATAATTGAGCTTACACTCTAAGTCCAAAGCCCAAAATATCTATTTTGTTACTAAATCAAATCTAATCTATTCTAGACTTAAATCAAATCTATTTAAATCTAAAACAAATCAAATCTTTTCAACACTATGAATTACAATTTAACACACCACCTAATTCATTGTGTCTAAACTATCTATATTCATCATGACTCTTAGCCTTCTGAATACTTCGACTTGCACTCCCTTCGTCATGATGTCTGCAATCTGATTCTCAGTTCTGCAGTGTTTCAAATTCATCTTCCCATCTTCCACCTGCTCTCGAAGATAATGGAACCTCATTTCGATGTGCTTACTTCAACCATGTGTTATTGGGTTCTTCGCCAGATTGATAGCTGACATGCTGTCGATCTTCATGGTAATTGCTCCATGATCTTTTCCTATTATCTCTTCGACCAAATTCACCATCAAAGTTGCTTGACATGCACAAAGAGAAGCAGCTATGTATTCTGCTTCGCATGATGATAATGTAACTACTGGTTCCTTTCTCGAATTCCAAGCAGCTGGTGCACCACCTAGCATAAATACATATCCTGCTGTTGACTTTCGATCTTCAGCATCACTACACCAACTCAAATCAGTGTATCCCACTAACTAGCATTCTTTTCCTTTATCAGCTGCAGGAAACAAAATGCCATAATCGAAAATTCTTTTGAGATACCTTAGTATCCTCTTCACTGCTGCTAGATGTGATACCTTTGACTTCTGCATGAATCTACTTACCATACCTACACTGTATGCTAAGTCAGGCCTTGTATGACAAAGGTATCTCAATGATCCAATAAGTCTTCTGTATTGGGTTGGATCAACATCATCTTCATCTGCATCTTTCGACAGTTGTAGTATTGGTTCTGCAGGTGTCGAAGTTGAGTTGCATTCTTCCGTCTCAAACCTCTTGAGAATTTCTCCTGCATATCTTCTTTGATGCATCATCAATCCTCTACTGCTCTTGTAGAATTTGATACCAAGGAAATATGAAATTTCACCCAAATCAGACATTTCGAATTCCTTGCTGAGATCACCTTTGAAGTCTTCGATCTCACTCTTACAGCTACCTGTTATCAACAAATCATCTACATAGAGACATAGTATAAGCAATTCACTCTTGCTTCTTCTTACATATACTCCATGTTCAGTTGTGTACTTTACAAATTCCTTCTCCCTTAGGAAACTATCAATTTTCTTATTCCAAGCTCTTGGAGCTTGTTTCAATCCATACAGGGCTTTATGCAGTCTGTACACCTTTCTTTGTTCATCATGTTTCACAAATCCAACTGGTTGTTTAACATAGACTTCTTCATCTAAGGGTCCATTTAGGAATGCACACTTCACGTTCATATGACATATATGCCAACTGTTTATTT